GGGATTCAATCCTGGTTCCTCCCAAGTATCTGCCAGAGTTGAGTAAAGCGCCCGACGATGTCATCAGTGCCCAAAAGGCGGTTGAAGAGGTTTGTGGAACCGCGCTCACCCTGCCTTTCACTTACAAGTACTGACCGAGAAAGTTCATCCAATCCAAATACACCACCGTTGGCTTCGAACTACCCGTTTTCGTCCACGTATCAAGAGCCAACTTGACCCCCGCGCTAAGTTGGTGAACCCTGGTCTAGTGCAATAACTGGTGAATTGACTCATCTCCATAATAGACGATCTGAACCCCGCCGTTGCCAAGACAATCGCCAAGACGTTGCAACGCGAACTGGCGCCAACATCCAGTTGGAGTGAGGTTGCTATCAACGCAAAACTCTTGCGCATTATCGCAATTGCGTCCGGGCACGTTTTCGTCGGGCCTGAGCTTTGCGATAATGAGGCGTATCTCAGCACATCGATCGATTTTACTCAACACCTCATGAAAGCCGTGTACGGCATTGCCATGATACCGACCTTCCTGCGGCCTCTCATTGCCCCCTGGCTCCCCATGACGAGGGCGCTACACAAGCGGCTCGCTGAAGCTGATGCGGTCTTCCAACCCATCGTCACTGCCCGGCAGCAGGCTGCAAAGGAGAGCTCACTGAAGCACAATGACATGCTCCAGTGGATGCTAGATTCGCAGACCCGCGTGGGAGAGCTGAGCACCCGAGATCTGGCGCTGGCGCAGATTGGTGCTAGTTTCGCGGCCATTCATACTACGACGATGACGGCTACGAACGCAGTGTACTGGTTGGCGGCGAAGCCCGAACTAGCTCCCATGCTTCTGGAAGAGGTTGAACAGGTCTTGGAGGAATCCAATGGCCAATTCACAACTGCAGCACTGCAGAATATGAAGAAGATGGATAGCTTTCTCAGGGAGGTTATGAGAGTTACTCCCTTGAGTGCGAGTATGTGACCCATTCCATGGATTACAAACTGCTGTGTCCAGATGACTGACCACTTTCCCTAAACATAGGTGCCTACGTCCGCAAGGTCTTGAAACCGTTCGAACTCTCGAACGGCCAGGTGATTCCGGAGGGCACGTTCGTAGAGGTCCCAAGCGTCGGCATCAACCAAGACCCAGAGATCTTCCCGAATCCGGACGTATTCGATGCTCTGCGCTTCTACAAGCTCCGCAGAGATGACAACCCAGCCCAACTGAATCAGCTTCAGGCTGCTTACGTTGGACCCACGCACCTCAGCTTCAGCTTCGGCAAGCACGCTTGTCCAGGGCGTGTTTTCGCCGTTAACGAGATCAAGACGGTGATGGCGAATCTTTTGCGCACCTACGACATCAAGTTGCCTGACGGTGTAAACGAGAGATATCCCAGCCTTGTGTTTGGTGACCAGGCAAGTAGACCCATTACTGTTTATAAGAATGACCAAGGAGATCTAACCGAAATCTGGCGTTAGAATGTCCCTGACCCCACGAAGACTATTTTGATGAAGCAACGAGATATGGAAGTCCTTGTTTAGATGACTTACACTGCAAACACATGAGTATTGTAGTTTAGGTAGTGATGGAGTGGCTAGTTATCTCGCTAGAACCGTGGAGCACAAAGAAAGCATGCAGAAAACAAAACAACTCCGAGTCTTGAAAGGGCGGAACTGTAGTCGCATCTAAGCTACAACGTTTCTACATGAATAAAACAATCGAACTTCCGTTTCCTACAGCTTTTCAGACTGGTGACAATGTCTATTTAGAAACACATGCTCAGCATCAGTGTATCAACGCCTACAAGACAGCTCCCGAGAAATGAGTCTCATTCAGCTAAAGCAACGAACATTTCCTGACAAAAACGTTTTACTTTAATTTTTCAACGGGCCGGGTAGTAGATGGAACGCTTCTCATGCAGGTACTTTGAAGATCGAAATTTCCAGACCTCTCAGCATTTGTAAACCTCACTTGCTGACAAAACACTTCCGTTGATTGCCTCATTGTTCTCCCTGGGTTCCCAATATCTCTTCCGTTTCAATCTAGATGGGTGCAACTGCGGGAGCGTTTTCTCAGGTCCCGAAAGTTATCTGCCCTGCGTTGTTGCGGAAGTCAAAATTTGGCTTTCCCGTTATGTTTGATGGCCCGGCCTACGTTGCACCATCGGAGGGCTCCGACCGTGTTGTTCTCCCAATGGCGAAATTCGCCGACTCTTGGCGCGAGTCGCTCATGTAACCGTATTATAAATCAGGCAGTATTTGGCTTCCAGACCTGCATGATGCATTCGGACTAGAATTACCACTCCTGTCAGTGGCACCCACCCAAAGTGCATAGACACGAACCTCTCCTTGGACTTTAGGCTTTCCAATCGGTGGGAATTCGCTGGTTTATTGTCGATCGCACCGATTTCGTCCCATCTTAATACGTTGAATATCTTGACAATAGACAAGGAACTCGTAGATTGTCGTGAGTGCCGCTCCGGCACATTGAGTCGCAATGACACCTTTGGGGGCCATGTAAAGGAATGTCGAGTCAAGAGCCTGCCGCAGAAGCGTATCTCAGCTAGTCCATAAATGGAGTAAATCGATAAGTCCTACGTTCATTGTGTTCCTTCTATCGACACATTTCTCTTCCGTACCTAGTATTCCCTTCCTGTTCAACCAGTCCACATCAACAAAATGTCTCGACCAGAGGATGGCATCAAGTTGGGAGATCGATCTCCAAATCGAGTTGAATCTAATCCAGATAGCCCTGTGACACTCAACGACAAAACACAGGCAGACGCGACAGCCGATCCGACGCCCGACGAAAATGCACCCAAATCCGGTGGTCGTGGATGGGCCTTTTGGGCCATCTTCGCGAGCTTGTCCGTCACAGCTCTCCTAAGCTCCATGGAAGGCGGCATCATGTCTACGGCTCTCCCAGCGATTTCGCGCGCTGTAGATGCCGAAAGGGACTACATCTGGGTTGTGAACGTTTACTTTCTCACCAGGTAAGTCATGTGGTGTTGATATGGAAGCGTCAAGCAAACAATAAATGGTCTAGCATGGATAACTGTACTACGCGATCTTGACGCTTACCAACGCGTGTTTCCAGTGCGGCTGTTCAACCTCTCTACGGTCAACTAGCAGACATTTGGGGCAGACGGTGGCCAATGTTGGCTTCCGTGGTCATCTTCGCCGCAGGATCGGCTGTCTGTGGTGCCGCCAACAACGCGGCGACACTAATCGGCGGGCGAGCGGTACAAGGGCTTGGCGCCGCTGGCATCAACACTCTCGTGGAGATCATCCTTTGCGACCTCCTACCGCTGAGGGAGCGTGGACAATTCATGGGACTCCTCTTCCTCTTCATCGTCATCGGCTCCGTGCTGGGACCCTTCCTCGGTGGGATCATCGTCCAACGGACATCTTGGCGATGGGTCTTCTATCTGAACTTGCCAATTTGCGGAGTCTGCCTGGCCCTCCTCTTCTTTTCCCTGAACCTCAAGCACCGCAGCGACGAGGACTCAACACCACTGGAAAAGCTCAAAAGAATTGACGTTGTCGGTCTCCTTCTTCTGTGCGCATCTGTCACGTCACTTCTATACGGTCTTACGTACGGCGGCGGATCAAAGTACGCTTGGTCCCATCCGGTCATCATAATTACACTGGTGCTGGGTGTCATCGGCCACGGCTTATTTATCGGCTTTGAGGCATCGCCTTGGTGTCCTCATCCAGCTTTGCCGATATCACTGTTCCAGAATAGAACGTCTGTGGCCGCCTATGTGGCCGAGGCCGTGCAGATCCTGGTATCATACGGCGCCCTTTACTTCCTCCCGCTCTATTTCCAGTCAACGCTTCTGGTGTATCCCGAGAGATCTGGAATTCTGCTCCTACCGTTCTCGATATTGTTCTGCATATCTGCTGCTGTCGGTGGTGCTCTAGTCACAAATATGGGCAAATTCCGTATGGTACATATCGGCAGCTTTGCACTGATGACGATCATGATGGGCGTTTTCACCTTGCTCAACCGTAACACACACCTCGCTGTAATCGCAATCACGGGGATTATCACGGGTATCAGCGTCGGCCTTCCCAACGCCTCCATCTTGACCGCGGTTCAAGCGGCGTTGCCAGACTCGCTCAACGCAGCCAGCACCAGCGCATTCGCCTTCATCAGAAGTATATCCACCGTCTTTGCCATCACGATCCCAGCTGCCATCTTCAACAGTCGATTTGACGAGCTACTTTCGTCCTCCGGCCTGGACAGCAATGCGAGGGCAAGCTTGGGCCTTGGCCAGGCTTACCAACAGGCGTCACGAGATTTTGTCCGTTCCTTCCCTGATGCGGTGCAGAACGAAATCATCGGCCTATACGAGGTGAGCCTACAGCGCGTCTGGCAGGTGCTCATCGCGATCGCGGGTCTTGGCGTTATTGCGTCTTTGATAGAGAAAGACCTGGAGTGTCGCACCGAACAAACAACAGAGGAATTTGGTCTGAAAGAGGAAAAGCCGGGCCAGACATCTTCCAACAGTGAGGTATAGACTATCTCGCATGTATAATCAGTCGTTTGAGGTTTCAACCTGGCACTCGCGCATGTCATAAGCATGTGCTAGCGCTTAGAATAGACTTCTGATTGACCTTGACACAACGTGCCGTGGATGGTTTGCGTTGTACTTTGAGTTAAAGTGGTGATAGCTTGTCTGAGTGAGATGCCTCGCCGACCGTGTTCTAAGTTTACCACAAGCTTAGTGATGTCAAATTCTTTCACAGGAAGCGACAAGTAGACGTGCTTTAAGCAATATCATGGCCTTTGCGACAGAGATGAATATTCAGACTTCTCTCATTAGATCGTATTGAATTCTCTCTGTGTTTGAACTGGGCAAACCACGAGGATACAATGTTTCTTGACCATAATCTTTCCGCTTATAGTGAACACGAGCCTTTATCCCTAGGTTACCATAGGAACACGGGGGAATAACTGTGATCCGCAACAAAAAGGTTTCTTCGGAGATATGTTGTCATATGAGGAGCATATGCTACAAGAACACCGGCGGTCTATCGATACCAAGCGCACGATCAAGAAACTGCAAACTTCTTTGGCCACACAAGGCCACGGCTCCCATCTTTGCCTGGAGACTCCCCTGCCCCGGACTGGCCGGCACCCACATTTCCTTGTTTTCGAGAGGAACATTGACCAGGCCGTCATAACATCGCTTGGTGTGCTCGTCCACATCCAAGTACAGCGAGTTTCCGCTACCAGATACGAGAACAGGACAGACCACGCGCGTGAGATAGTCGACACCATCCTTCTGTTGTGAACCAGCCAGCGAAAACTTCTTCATATGAAGCAGGATGTCTGAAGGCGACGAGAGCCCAAAAAAGGTTCCAGCGACAGAGATCTCCCACTTGAGCTGAAATGAGAACGTCTTCAGAGTATTCATCAACTTGTCTATCACGTCCCGGCTCATCCATCCATTCATCCAGGCCGACAGGAACAAGCGAGAGACGTGGGCGGTGCCAAAGTCCCACATGTCAAAGAACGGGTCCTGATTAGAAGAAAGAACCGTGTTAGCACAGGGTTCATGAAGTTCTGATCCTTGAATGGAACTTACGATGGAGACGCAAGCTTTGACCCTGGGATCAGCAGCAGCACGAAGCGCATAGTAGCCTCCCATGGACGCACCAGCGACAGCAATGCTATCGACGTCGAGTTCAAGATTGGGATTCTTGGCGGAAAAGTCGACAAGATGATCGATAACTCGCTCCGAAACAATTTCCCAATTTGGTCGCATAACGAGGCCGTGGCGACGGAGCATGACACCCTGGCCAGGCCCGTCAAACGTGAGAACGGCGTATCCTTGTCGGTAACCAGAGGAAGGGTACATAAAGAAGAGCTCTTCCTGGCACGAATCTGCTCCTCCAAAGTTCACCAAGATGGGGATCTTTCGGCCAGGGATGCGGCAGCTCTCAGGCGGCAGATAGAGATATCCTGGCAGTTGATGGCCCTCGTAGGGGATAGAAAGCAATTGTACCGGGCAGTCCATAAGATCAATAGCCTTGCGAAAGAGACTGCCCATCCGCTCCGACACAGACAGCGCACACGGATGCTGTATCATGGCCGTGTCGCCATCGGCGGGCGGGGAAGAAACGAACATGTAGCCGCTGGCACGGGTGTAATTGGCAGCTCGCAGATATGCCCTTCTGGCGGCATCTTTGTCGCCGTGCGCGCAGGCCTCTTTGGCTAAAACCTCGGCTCGTGCCGCCTGTTTAGCCCACGCCTTTTCCCACGATTTAGGATCGTTGGCTTTGATTTCGCCCACTGCCTCAAGAACTTCGGCCGTTTCCGCACCGCCATAGACGGTAGTGCCGAGAATTCGAACCGTCTCGAAGTCGAAAAACGTGCTACTTGGGAATAGTTTGTGCATTTTTGCAAATTTTTAAATAGTCGTGATGATAATTTCTGGTTTAGGGGTAGAGTAGCCTAAATCTTTTGCATTAGCTTGAGAGATGAAAATAAGTGCCGCATGGGTATTTTCACCAGTACAAGCGGAGATTGGCTTGCCACAGTCCACTGTGGTTGTTGTGCAAAGCAGGTCGTAATGTGTAGCCGCCTCTCCTAGTAAAGATAATGTAAACTTAGGATGCCGCAGCAATGAAGTGATGGAGCTATGATGGAGAGTATACTTTTACGATGTTCCGAGGTGCTCACGTTCGGAGTCGGGGATGCTACTTTCTTATCTTAGTTCCCGATGCCCAAACCTTCGACATAGCTCCGAAAATTTGCAGGGGACGGGTCCGACTGGGTTCTGATTCCAAAGTCACACGGTATCTTTTCACTGCTAAGAGGCACTTTCTGCTGTCCCTAGAGAAAATCCTGTGTGGAATGGGACATCCCAACCCCCGGATTGACGTGCAAGCGTGCCAATTTTGAGATCATTTGAATTATAACAGGCGGTACCTTGAGATTTATTCGAAGGTGATGTTTTGCGTAGACTGTTCACACCTCCGTTAATAAATGACACAAACCAAGAGAGAAGCTTTATAACGAAATGGCAGACGAAATTTGTGGAGGACTGTATTCAGTTGGTAGCTCTCAAACTGTTGCTCAAACACCATGTCTCCTCGTGCCCTCTTAGCGCATACCTAATGATAAAACGTAAATAACTCCACCTATTCTTTTGGTGGTAAGATATCCATCTTAGAAGTTAAGTCAACTTTGGGAAACGCGTGTCTACTCGACATAGTTACTCTGGAAGAGCGGCGAGTTCTTGGGAAATGTCAATGCCTCGCTCATCGAGACACCCTCGTACTGATCCATTCCAACATGCCCACCCCTTGCCTTTCCTGAGAAGCCACTACCACCAACACCCTCGCCAAGAATGTACTCAAACGCCAGGTTTGCATGCTCCACGAAGAAAGTGTAGTGGCGTCTATTGCTCGGGGAGACAAGCTCAAGCTGAAAGCCTGTAACCTTGTCCTTGAGAGTGCCAGTAACCGCGCCGCCATACGTCTTGCTGGCAAGGACGTAGTCTTCCGTGTCGGACGGGGTTGGAGATGTCGAACGAAAGACGGGTATACCATCTCTAAACAGGGCCGCAGATTGGTGGACGTGGCCCTGATCCAGGTTTGACTCAAAGCGGAAGAAGCTGAGAACGTAAGGCCCGAGCATTGCTCGCACACCTTGCAGGTTCTTCAAGCATGTAAACCAGCTGAAAGCAGACCAGAACCTCTCATGACCACCAATGCCGCTCCAAGTCACCCTCTTGCCTTTGATCTCGACATCGAAGTCCAACGTGCCGGCAGGAATGGGTTGCGACCAGTGCAAGTGGCGAACGGGTTCCGTCGTTGCGTTCTCATTTGGCCAGACGTGGCCGTCGGCAGCAATAGGCAATGACTTGGATTTCGTGATGATCGTTCCTTTTACCGTGTCTGAGTGAAGAGTGATGATAGCCTCGCTCATGTCTGAGTTCACGAGGAAAGAAAACTGGTATCCTTCCTTCTCACTGTACCACACGCCCCTGACACCTTGTGGACAGGTTTCCATGACAGTTCGCTCGGCGTAGTAGAGCTCGGAAAACCGGGTGCCATCAGAAAACCCAAACTCGAGCGACAGGCGAAAATTGCCAGCGCCTAGGATCGAGTAGTTCGGGTCGCGGTAGAAGCCAAAGATGAACGACTGCATGCCATCTTCAGAGACGCCATCAAAGGCCCACTGCTCACCAGCAGTTGAGTTGAGTGGACGAATCTTTGGCATTTCTATGTTCTCGGTGGCACCCCTAGCGAAATCGACCAGCTTCCTGCCTTTGGCCATGTCGTAGGCTGTCAAATTGCTGATCTGACAACCTGATGCCTCGATGTTGTCGGTTAAAGGCACCTGCTGTTCTTGTACGGCAAGACCAGCGAGGTTAGGACTTTTCCAATGCAGAGGCCATGGTTCCAGCCACACTTTGCTGCCCCGAGCAGGGGAAACAAGCAGTGAAGCCAAGAGAATGTTGGCAGCAATCATGACTTTTTCGAGATGGCTATTCGAAAAGATACAGAAGAGCTGTAAAGCGGAGTAATTTTGGCGTGAATGGGTGAGTCAATGCTGCGAGCTCGGATGGATGCTGTGAAGCGGTGGAATAGAGCGTGTGGGGGATTTTGCAGGCATACTTTATGGCTATCTACTCCAGCTAGAGTCCCCTCTTGAGGCTGGTCCATCCCAATTGAGTTTTCGATGTCCGAAAGATAAAACTGACCTCCGAACACAATGGTTCACTGGATAGCATATAACCAGGTCCCGTAGATGAGCGACCGAACATCCAGCGACACAAACGTTGCTCTCCAATTTCCTTCCATTATTCACGCTTCAACTCGCGATGCATATCCCTACCAAGCGAACTGCTGTCGTTCAAGGCGACGATGGTTGCTTACGGATCGATGAGAATGTGCCCATGCCGCAGCCTAGACCCAACGAGCTCTTGGTGCAGGTGAAGGCTGTGGCCATCAACCCATGCGATCACAAAATGTACGAACGGTTCCCTTGCCCTGGCGCAGTTGACGGATGCGATTTTGCTGGAATCGTTGTTGGATTGGGATCCGACGTTACGGCCTTCAAAGTCGGCGACAGGGTGTGCGGAGCTGTCCACGGATCCAATCCGAGTCGGCCGGAGTCCGGGACGTTCACTCAGTACACCGTATCCGAGTCCGAGTTTACGCTCAAGCTCCCACCCAATATGTCATTCCGACAGGCTGTTGGTCTCAGCACGACGGGGCTCAGCACACTGGGGATGGCAATTTACAAGGGTTTGATGTTGCCGGGAACCCCTATGCAACCAGCCGAAAAGCCCCGCATGGTGCTGGTTCATGGGGCCAGCTCGTCGGTCGGAACAATGGCGTTGCAGCTCCTTCGCCTGTGAGTTCGTCTCCGAGCGGGGCAGAGTCTCCCATTTTGGTGTCGCTTGTCAGGGTACCCCTGATACTAACGATCTAAAATCCAAATAGGATAGGACACATCCCCATTGCCACCTGTTCGCCGAGGAACTTCAACTTGGCCAAGAAGTACGGCGCAGAGGAAGTTTTTGATTACAACGATCCGGACTGCGGCAAGAAGATCAAATCGTACACTCGCGACACGCTGTCCTACATCATTGACCCTTTTACGGACCTCAAAAGTGTTGCTCTGTGCTACGAAGCGATGGGACGAGCAGGGGGCCGCTATGCCTGCCTCGAGATGTACCCAGACTACGCTCTGGAACGGAGGGCCGTTAAATTATTCTTTGTCATGGGGATGGCCATTTTGGGTCATCGTCTGGATTTGGACTACGGCTACGAGAGAGACGAGGACCCGGAACTTAGAGCGTTTGGCATCCGCTGGTACAAAGACCTGCAAAAGTTGCTGGATCAAGGGAATCTGAGACCCCATCCACTGAAGGAATTGGATGGGAAGTTTGAGGGTATCCTGGAAGGCGTTGAGATGTTGAAAAATAAGGAGGTCTCCGGCCAGAAGCTGATTGTAACTTTGGACGAATCCTAATTAGTAGTTGACGATCATTCCTTTCCTTTGTCTTTCAGTTTATGGACCGCATCGTGGATCAATGACCACAATGTGCAGATTTATCAGGGTAAAGTGAGCATGCTCAGCCGACCTTCAGGTCTGCCTCCTAAGTCCCCGAATGATTTCAGATAATAGACAGGCTATAGTTCTTAACAGAAGACCATCTTATGAACCGTGCTGTTTGGCTCCAGTAACATCAAGGCTTACATGGCAAACGCATATTCTCCATAGGCCAAAACAAAGTTTGTGAACGAGGATTAGTGTCTCCGAAGCGACTACCGACCGCCGAACATGCAGGGGACCTCTGGCTTCAAGGAGTAAGATGATATAACCCTTAGGCGCATCAGCTGTCGCGCATCTGCTGCACGCAGTATTGTTTTCATTCTTATGTACGAAATCGACAACGCCTACCTCCAGGATCGACACCATGCTGCAACTACTGGGATTTGAACTGCTAACTGCAAAAGCATTCTTCTTGTTATTAGGTGGTAGCATTGGGGTAACTCTTGTCTACTTCTTGCATTTTTACAACGTCTGGCCATTTGGCAATGACGTTGAGCCTGCGACAGCAGATCAGTTGCGACACATACCGTTGCTCCGGTTTGATGGATCGAACAATGTTGAGATATACATGAATGAGACCCGGAGTCTCCTTCGGCAAGGCTACGAAAAATACTTGCGCCAAGGCATCCCTTTCCAGATACGTCACCCCGTCGGCGAATTGGGCTCCCAAGTCCTTCTACCAACGAAGTACTTGGAAGAAGTCAAGAAGGCCCCAACAGACCTCTTCAGCTTCGAGGCCTACTCAGCGAAGTCCTTCCTGTTGGACTACAGTCGAGCCCCAAGACAGACGGAAGCTGCGGCACATGTGATCCGGGTTGACCTAAACAGAAACTTGGGTAAGCCGTCTATAACATCTATTCTTTCTTCCCTTCGATCTATGCTGATCGGTTCCCCAGGACCTCTAGTGACAGACCTCTGGAACGAAGCCGCCCAGCACCTCAGCGAGAACGTCTCCTTTGAGTGGAAGACCGCGTCAGCTTATGAGCTCGTATGCAGCTTTGTGGCCCGCGTAGCTTCTGTCGCTCTCGTTGGAGCTCCGCTGTGCCGAAATCCGGCTTGGCAGCAGATCGTCGTTGAGACGACGTTTGTTGCGTTTGGGGCAGCACAAGCCATCAAAGACAAGTACACCCCACGTTGGAGATGGCTGGCTCCCTGGTCAGAGTCAATTCAAAAGGACTTGCGACGTATAAGAAAACAGTCAATTGACCTGCTGCGGCCCCTCTACAAAGAACGGCGCGAGGCGATGTCAAACACGGACAGCTTCGGAGATCCATCTGAAGTTTACAGAGACGTCGTCTTCTGGCTCATGAAGAGCAATCAGAAAGATCGGTCATTGTACGGAATTACTGAATCGCAACTATTCTTATCTTTGACAGCCATACACACTACCTCGGGGACACTCAATTCATTTGTCTACGATTGGATTGCGCATCCCGAGTACCATGACGATATCTTGCTGGAAGTCACCGAGACCCTCGCCAAGGTTCAGGCTAATAATGGCCAATGGACACTGCAACATGTGGCTATGATGCGAAAGCTAGACAGTTTCATGAAAGAGAGTGCCCGGTTGAACCCCATAGGCTTCGGTGAGTCATGTTTCCCAAAGAGGTGAGCCGACGTCACGGAGCAGACTATTCGCTGACCCAGAGTTTTCTAGTTTCTACCCAGCGCTACACCCTAAAGCCGTACACGTTCAAGGATGGCTTCCACCTTCCGGCGGGCACGACTATCATGTTTCATTCCGACGGCGCTCACTATGACGCTGATAACTATCCCGACCCAGAAAAATTTGATGGTTATAGGTTCTTGCGCCTTCGCGAGACAGTCGATCCTAATCGATTCCATTACGCTTCCGTCTCGGATAGTGCGCTTGGTTTTGGGGCCGGGATACATGCATGTCCGGGTCGCTTTCTCAGCGCCATCGTTATGAAGTTTTTCCTGATCAATTTCATGACGCAGTACGAGTTCAAGTACGAGCATGGTGGCACAGAGAGACTGCCGAATCTCTACAATGACAACACTAGCAGACCCGCCCCAACTGTTAACCTGCTGGTTAGGAGAAAGTACTAGGAAGGACTCAAGGACGATGAAAATCCTTTGGCGGAACACTCGAATACTCCCGCTTTGGTTCGCGGGCCACAATTGTATCGTCCATGGATAGTTCATTTGGAATATGTTGGCTGTCAGGACAAATATCCCAACAAAGCTGCATTCAAGTCTTTTATCCTATGGGATTTCGGGATGAAATCATGATGTCAATTCCAAAAGCCCCTTCCTCGGACAAAGTGATAAAAAGAATACATTCCCCTATTCGTACGCTCACCCGTAAATCACGCATATCAACGTGGTCATCTTCCATACCAGTCATCAAACCGAAGATTTAGGCAGTTCGCAATCAGGGTTTCTGTAGACAGAATCAACGAACATAGCTTATATTGTCCAATTCATGGTTCAGTGATGCTGATACTCGTTCTGGATGCTGACTCGCGGCCCACGTGTATCCGGCCTTAATCGATTACGATGATGTGAGTGAGCCAATGTCCTTGCGTTGGCTTGGTACACCGTCTTGAAAAGACTGAGCCGTCTGTGGTTGGCGAGGATTTAGAGTTGGACCACTTCCCCTCATCTCCACGCTGCCCACCTGTTCGGACGCGTCAGGGATCCCCCTAATACACCCAGGATGCTTGGTTAGATCCCGACTTTGGCGCACAATCCAGCCAATCGGGGTGCGGTCTCGGTGTGCAATCGCCGAGCCCGATAGCAAAGGCAACGGTGCAGGGATGCCGCAGCCGACAAGCATGGTCAAGCCATCCCAAGCTACAAGCTATGTCCACATCCGAACCCTGAGGAGAGCTTTGATATTCACATAGTCGCTGTGCTTTTCAGCCATGTGAAGACCTCATCTTCCTTCACTCCAACCAATTTTCTCCTCAACACCAAGACAGAAATCAAACGCACCCAATATGTCATTTTCAATCGAATCCAAGATTATTGAACCGTACCTGGTTCTCCGCCAAAGTCTGGCACCCCTCAGGCTTTCCAGATGGCAAATGTTCAAATTCATCGCCAGAACTGTCCTCTATTCAGCTTTCCCTCGTGTCTTCCTCCTGGGCACGGTCCTGAGTCTTGTCGTGTACGGTCTATATCGCGCAACTTGGGGTCGACAGCAACGGGAACCTGATCATGGCTTTCCCATCGTCAAAAGAAATGATTACCATTTCGACACCATCATTGCGGAAGGAAAGAAACTGGTGAGATGGCATCCATGTCTGCTTGGCGGCAGCACAAAGAGCTGACATGGGACCGCATAGTATCCGGACAAGCCTTTCATGGCCATCAACAAACGATACAGATTCGTCATCTACCCTACCAGCAGCTGGGACGAGCTCAAACGAGTTCCCGAGCAGACAGCATCTATCATGAACTTCCAGCATGTGTGTAACTCTGGCGATTGGAGTCTGATCGGCGGCGAGACACACGAACTCGTCAAAACCATCACTGCCGAACTGACCCGCTCCCTGCCCGCACGTGTCCTCAACCGTCAGCAAGACGCCAAAATGACCTTTGACACCATTATCGGTCACTGCCCCGAGGAAAAGGGCTTCAACCTCCTAATGACGTCTTTGGAGATCATCGCCAAAATCAATGCCTGCACATTTGTTGGCAGAGAGCTTGGGCGCAATCAGCGCTGGGTCAAAGCCGTCATCTATTCTCCTCTCTTCGTTTACATGGCAGTCACGCTCCTGAATGCTACACCAAGCATCCTGAGATCGATTTTGCGTCCTTTGTACTTCCTGCCTGTTACCAAGAATTACTGGGACATGAAGCGGTTGCTGAAGCCAAAGCTCGACGATGAAATCAAGACATTCAAGGAAACCAAGGATAAGCGCAAACTTCTCGTACCTAAGTCAGATGAAGATCTTCCCTTCACGCAATTCCTGCTGTCACGATACACCGAAGCTGCAGCAACGATTAAGCAACTCGTCACAGACTACATTCAAGTCAGCTACACCTCTACACCGACGACCGCTTCTGCATTGTATCACGCGTTATGGGAGCTGGCACAGCATCCCGAGGCAGCCGATATCTTGCGTCAGGAGCTCAAAGAGGTTATGGTGGACGGTCAGCTGCCAAGGACCCACCTTCAAGAACTGAAGCGAATGGACAGCTTCCTCCGCGAGTCTTTCCGACTTCATCCCATTACTCGCTGTAAGTTGCAATGCCTACTCTGAACAAATTTCATTGTCGTCCTCGCAAGTATCTAGTATTCTTTCTTTCGGATTTTTGACATAACCAACTTTGTTCGCAGTCACTCTTCAACGTTACGTCAAAGAGCCTTTCCAGCTTTCTGATGGCTCTACGGTCCCGCCCGGCGTGATGGCTGTTGTAGACGCGCAGGAGATCAACAGGTCCCCTGATCTCTGGGAGAATCCTGACAAGTTTGACATGGACCGTTTTTATCGCCTGCGGGAGTTGTCTGGCAACGACAACCGCTATCACTTCGTGACCACTAGCTCGAACTCGCCGGGCTGGGGCGATGGATTGCAGGCCTGCCCCGGTCGCTTCTTCGCCACTAGCACGCTCAAGATCGTCATCGCCCATGTTGTTATGAACTATGACATTCGTCTGAGGAAGGTGGCACCTCTGAAGAGCAGTCCCTTGGTCAACGGGTCGTACGCACCGGACAATTCGGTTGAGATATTGTTCAAGTCTCGATCTCCCAAGTAACTAAAGCGCTGGAACAACAAACATCCCCACCCACCAAGTCAAATTCAGTAGCATTATTGAAATAGGATTCACATTTCCATTGTAAAGAATCATTATTGACACAGTTTCGCAATCAAATACGTTGTATAGAAATATCCTTCGCGTTAGTCTCCAAGACTAGTGACATGTCCGCTAACTAATCATATTTCTCTTTTGTGAACAAGGGTTTATTTCTAGGGATATCTCGTATTTCTTTTTAAAAAGACGAGATGGCAGTCTCTTTGCGAGGCAAGAATATTTGGCATCTTTCTATGGACAAAAACAACGAGACATGGGCTATCTATTTCCTGTGTTGACGCTTCATGCTTATTCGAGACGACAATTCCCATAAATGTCAGTTTCTGTCGTTTTACGCAAACACAAGATTTTAGAAAGTTCAACAGGGCTCTTACTCTGCCGAGAGAGGTTGTGGCTGGTTAGGCCATGTTGAGCTCGCCCTTGCAGCTGGACTTTGGGCTCGGCGTTTCGGCGCCGATTCAAAATCGGCGTCAACTCCCTGGTTCGGCGAACAAAGGTGGGGCAGGGAATGCAGTGGTAGCTGAGTCATTCTGAGGCTGGATAGGAAGATCGGAAACTTGGAACATTGGTGCGAAAGTCAGTCTTGTTGAAAGTTAGTTTGTCCAAATGCAAGGTACAGAGCTTCTTGTCATCGGAGTTCGGACCGGTGAGCTTTTGTCGCAGCATTGCAGATGTAATGCAACGGTTCGTGTAGACACCGGTTTGGTTGACTACGAACCGTATCTTTAAAAGAAGACTCTTGGAAATGACATTATTTGGCCTAAAGCTTGTAGAGCTTTCTTGCCGTCATTTTCAACAAGTCCTAAAAGCTCAACATGAAGACCCAGAACGAGCCTATCGCCATCATTGGCACCGGATGCCGCTTTCCCGGAAGCTGCGACAGTCCTTCCAAGCTATGGGAGCTATTGGAAAACCCTCGAGACTTGTTGAAGGAAATTCCAGATGATCGATTCAGCGCCGACGGCTTCTATCACCCCCAAAACTCCCATCATGGAACCAGCAACGTACGACATTCGTACCTGCTGGACGAGGATTTGCGCACCTTTGACGCCCAGTTCTTTGGAATCAAGGCTATTGAGGCAAGCTCGATTGATCCACAGCAGCGTTTGCTCATGGAAACTGTGTATGAGGCACTGGAGTCGGCTGGGCTGTCTGTAAAACGACTGCAAGGTTCCGACACGGCCGTCTATGTTGGCGTGATGAGCGCCGACTTTACCGAGATGCTGGCGCGTGATATCGAGAAATACCCCACGTATTTTGCTACAGGCACAGCACGCAGCATTATTAGCAACCGCCTGTCTTATTTTTTTGACTGGCACGGCCCGTCCATGACAATCGACACAGCCTGCTCATCGAGCTTGATTGCTCTGCACCAAGCTGTGCAGGTCCTTCGTTCAGGACAATCCAGAGTTGCCGTGGTAAGTTCAGGCTTTGAACCACGTGTACAAAATCAAATTAGTAGTAAAGCATAAGCTGATTTTAACAGGCTGCCGGATCGAACCTCATTCTGGGCCCAGAGCAATACATCGCAGAGAGTAAACTCCAGATGCTCTCCCCAGCGGGACGAAGCCGCATGTGGGATGCGGAAGCTGACGGCTATGCCCGTGGGGAGGGTATCGCCGCTGTCGTTCTCAAGACTCTCAGCCAGGCTCTAGCCGATGGCGATGACATCGAGTGCATCATCCGCGAAACTGGCATTAATCAAGACGGAAAAACTCCCGGTATCACAATGCCTAGCTCCAAAGCACAAGCATCTTTGATTAGATCTACCTATGCCAGGGCAGGTCTTGACTTGAGCAAAGCAAGCGATCGACCACAGTTCTTTGAGGCTCATGGCACTGGTGAGTTATTTATGATGCCGTCGGTGCTATTCGCATCACAATTACTAACAAGACAAGGTACTCCCGCCGGAGACCCCATTGAAGCTGCGGCAATCAGCGACGCTTTCTTCGGCGACGACGTAAAGTCCGAGTCTACAAACACGCACGACACTCTTTTTGTTGGCTCTATAAAGACAGTCATTGGTCACACTGAAGGCACTGCCGGTCTGGCGGCCATTATCAAGGCCTCGCAAGCGTTACAATCGGGCACTCTTCCACCGAATCGTCTTTTCAACCGCCTTAATCCCAAGATTGAGCCGTATTATTCAAATCTGAAGATCCTGACCGCGGCACAACCGTGGCCGAGACTGCCAGGAAATGGCATACGCAGAGTCAGTGTCAACAGTTTCGGTTTTGGAGGCGCGAATGCCCACGCCATCGTCGAGAGTGCGGACGCCTACGTAGCCAAGAAGTCATCGGTGCCAAGCCCCCGCTCATTTGCCCCTTGTCTCCTCTCAGCTGCTTCAGACACTGTCCTTACTTCCATGATCGAGCGCCTCAAGAGCTTTTTGAAGAACCAACAATCCACCAGCAGTACCGGGATCAACATGCGCGACCTGGCATGGACGCTGTGTAACCGTCGTTCAACCTTGGGGTCCCGCACTGTCGTGCCCGCAGCCAAAGATACGCAAGATCTCATCGACAAGTTGGACGCTTCCATTGAGTCCCCCACTGTCTCATCCACCAACAAGTCTTCCGATACCGGCATTCGGGTATTTGGCGTGTTCACCGGCCAGGGTGCGCAGTGGCCGCGGATGGCGGCTGAGTTGATTGAGGACTCTCCCTCCGTTGCGAACATTATCAAACGCCTCGATCAGAGCCTGCAATTGCTGCCACCGCGCGACCGACCGTCATGGACCCTGCGCGATCAACTGCTAGCTCCAAAAGAATCCTCCATGGTGGCCAACTCATCTCTGGCGCAACCGCTTTGCACGGCCGTCCAGATCATACTTGTTGATCTGTTGAGAGTTGCTGGAATACAATTTTCTGCGGTGGTTGGTCATTCTTCGGGCGAAATCGGCGCAGCATACGCCGCCGGCTACCTTTCCGCGACTGATGCAGTCCGGATCGCCTACTACCGAGGTCTCCATCTCCAGTTGGTGACTACGAAAGGAGCCATGATAGCTGCGGGCACGACGTTTGAGGATGCTCAAGAGCTTTGCTCGCTGCCTGCCTTTGAGGGGCGAGCATGCGTGGCTGCGAGCAACTCCCCAGCCAGCGTCACGTTGTCAGGTGACGCCGATGCCATCGAGGAGATTCAGATCGTCCTTGAAGATGAGAAGAAGTTCAATCGCCTGCTCAAGGTGGACCGTGCTTATCATTCTCATCATATGAAAGTTGTAGCAGAGCCATACAAGCGGTCACTAGAGGAATGCGGGATCAGCATCTTGCGTCCTTCCAGCGGCTGTCGTTGGGTGTCTTCCGTTTTTACGTGCGAGATTTCCGAAATTCCTTCACATGTGAGCCTTGGCAGTTCGTACTGGGCTTCCAACCTCGTTGAACCAGTTAGGTTTGCTGAGGCCTTGGAGGTGCTTTACTTGGGCAACACAATGGACGGAATGTTCAATCTCGGAATCGAGGTCGGACCCCATCCCGCACTTCAGGGCCCTGTCAAGCAGACTGGTAAGTCATTGCCCTGTCCTTAAACAAATTTCGTGACTGACTATTTCCTCGCATAGTGCAAGAATACACTGGGGAGTCACCGTTGGCTTACACGGGACTATTGGAGCGTGGGAAGAATAGCACAGAATGCGTCTCCAAGGGCCTTGGTTACATCTGGCAGACGTTTGGAGAGGGTGTCGTTGATTTCAACGCATATGAGACCTTCTGTTCCGGTGAACTGGTTGACAAACCGAACTTCGCCGTCACAAAGGGCCTTCCCACCTATCCTTGGGACCACAGTCGGACACTTTGGCAAGAGTCTCGGCTCTCAAAGGCTTTCAGGACGAATAAGAACCGCTCTCATGAGCTTCTCGGCCGCCAGATCCTAGACGGCGTACCAGGCCGCATGCGATGGCGCAATATCATTAAGCGCAGCGAAATTGAGTGGCTCGAGGGTCATCAAGTCCAGAGTCAGATCGTGTTCCCCGCGGCTGCGTACGTTTCGGCTTGTATCGAAGCCTGTATGCGTGCGTTCTCCGAAGATGGCTCTGTTCAGTGCATTGAGCTCCGCGACTTCGACATTGGACACGCAATGGTGTTTGAGGACGATGACAGCAATGGTGTCGATGCGACAATTGAACTGGGCGAAATAACAAAATCGGACAACACCATCAGCGCCCGATTTGGGTTCCACTCCACGGCAAGCAACGATGCCCTGGCCATGAACACTCATGCCAGCTGCCGAGTTATCGTCGTTCTGGGTGAAAGTGACGCCAATCTCCTGCCGCCGAGGCCGCAAGATGAAGACGAATTTTTGTTATTAGATGTCGAAGAAGACCGATTCTACAACAACCTCGATGGCCTCGGCTTTGGGTACTCGGGGCCTTTTCGCGCCCTCCGGGGACTGAGGCGCCGGCTTGGCTATGCCGAGGGTCTCATCCAGAATCCGGCCTCAACAGTCGACATCAACGTGCAACCGCCGTTACTTGTTCATCCAGCTACACTGGACTCGGGCATTCAGTCCATCATGATGGCTTACTCGTACCCTGGAGATACTATGCTGCGCTCCGTCTATGTTCCCACGCGATTTGAACGCATCCTTGTCAACCCAACACTCTGCGCTGATTTCGCTGGTCAACCTGTGAAGGTCCAGTTCGATTCGGTTGCATTCACCGGCGCCGCGAAGAGTGTGACAGGTGACATCAACATTTACTCACCTCGTGGAGCCACCTTCAAAGCTGTCCAGCTCGAGGGTCTTCAGACTCGACCACTTTCTGATCCCACTCAGTCCGACGGCATTAACATCTTCACCGAGATGTCATGGAGTGTTGCCGAACCCGACGCCGAAACTGCCATCGCAACGACATCTGTCCCGCCTCTGGATGGAGATTTCTTCTTCGCACTCGAGCGCGTTGCTTACTATTATCATCGCGTTCTGGGCCGCGCATTTCCCTCCGACGA